AAAAAAAAAAAAAAAAAAAAAAAAAAAAGCAAGATCTCAGAGTTCAAATGCAATTTGACAAACTAATTCTACAATTTATCAGGAAGAGCAAAACACAAGAATACCATATGATTTCACTCCTATGTGGAATTTAAGAAACAAAACAGATGAGTAAAGAGAAAGAAAGAGAGGCAAACCAAGAAACAGACTTTTACCTACAGAGAACAAACTGATGGTTACCAGAGAGAAGGTGGTGGGGGATCGGTTAAGTAGGTGGTGGGGATTAAGGAAGGCGTGCACTTGTGAAGAGCAGAGTGTTATATGGAAGTGTTGAATCACTCAATTGTACACCTGAAACTAATACTACACTGTGTTAACTAACTACAACTTAAATAAAAACTAAAAAAAAGTAATAACCAAAATTTATTTTTAAGAACAAGAACAAGGGAAACATATCCTGTAAGGTATTTAAATAAGCTTTAAAATAATAGCTTATTCACTTAATCATTCAATCAATATTGACTAGATACATACTATATATCAGAACTCTTACTGGAAAACAGAATTGAACAAAACACACAAAATCCTCTCTCTCAAAAATTTATATAAGGACTTTGGATTCTGATAATGGATTACATAATCTCAGTAATCTTACTGTGGGCAACTAAAAATGTTGGATTAATAAAAACAAAAAATATCATATGAGCAACAAAGAAATAACAAGATACTAAAGACTTACCCAACCAAACTCTAAGAGAAGACATGAAACCCTATGGAGGCACCCTGTAATAAAGCCTTTTACTTTTGCAGAGGACATAGCCTATCTGGAAGAAATAGCTATGAAATTAAGTTGCCATTCCCATGGTTGCAGGGAACTTGTAAAAAAAATTATATTCACAGGGTAAAACATGAACCAGAGGTGTATGAACTTTCCCGTCTAGCTCTTATAGCCTGATTGGGGTCATCTTGTAGACCAAGAAAATACAAATCTTGAATTTGCAATGAAAGTGTTCTAAACTGGTAGAACCCCTACTCATCTGGCAGAAGTAAATGAAAATCCTATGGAGAAAGATACTAAGATACTCTCCTAGGCTTTAAAATAGTCCTATTAACAGTTTACAAATATAATATCTAGCATATTGTTAAACATCTAGGCACTAAAGAAAACAAGATACCATGAACAAGATGAAGGAAAAGCAACTATCAGTAAGCTCAGACCCATAATTATTTGGAATTATCTGAAGAATATATAAATAACTATACAGACCATATTCAGAGAAATAAGAGCCACATAGGCTACTAGAAACAAAAAGAAGTATATCTAAAAACGAACCAGCATAAATTTTAGATCTGAAAAATATTACAACCAAAATTAAGACTTTAGTAAATGGGTTTAGTATACTGTAGCTTAGAAAATGAGTAAACTGGAAGATGGGTCCAAAGAAATTATTTTAAATGTAGCACCGACAGAAAACTGAGAAGAAATGGTAAAAAACCTAGAGGACAGGGAGAAGCATTTATTATACATTTGGTTGGGAGTTCCAAAAGAAAGAGAGAGAATGAGCCAGAAGAAACAGCTGGGAGACAACAGCTACGAAATTTCCAAAAGCCCATCAGAGATCCCAAACCTGACAATAACAAAGAAGAAATTCCCATCTAGAAATATTAAACTTTTAGAAAACTAGAGATAAAATTAAATGTGTTAAAAAGTAGGCAGAAAATATAGAACAGCTTATTTTAAAATGAGAAAGTTAAATTTGCAAGAATAATGAGAATGAAATGGTGGCTGAAGACCCCTAAATAGCTTCAGGATGGGTACTGGTCACCAGAAAACCCAGAGCATGATTAAAGGATTGTAATTTTCAGCACCCCTCCCCCGTCCCCCACCTCAGTCCCAACACTTCCAGGGATAGGGGAAGGAGCTGGAGATTGAGCTAATCATCTTCATGCAAAGATTTAAACAATCATGCCCATGTAATGAAACTTCTATAGTAACTTCTAAGCAATGGGGTTCAAAAAGCCTCTGGGTTGGTGAACACAACAAGATGCTGGGAGGATGGTGCTCTCAGAGAGGACACGGAAGTTCCATGCCACCCTCTTCCTTGCATACCTTGCCCTATGCATTGCTTTCCACTTGTCTTTCTGAGTTACATCCTTATAAAGAACCAGCAAAGTCAAATATTTTCCTGAATTCTCTAAGACTTTTCTGGCAAATTACTAAACTTGAACAAGGTGTTGCAGGAACCCCAATTTAGAGCCAGCGTGTGAGAATTACAAGTGAGCTGATACTTGCGACTGGCATCTAAGTGTGGGTTTTGTGGGACTGAGGCTAAGAAGTCTGATGCAAACTCTAGGTAGTTAATATTAGAATTGAATCAAATTCTTGGATACCCAGCTGATGTCTCAAGAATCAGATAATTGGTTGCTGGTACTAGAAAACGCTCCAGATCTAATATTCAAAGGTTAGTCTATACAATGCACCACTCAAATTTAAAACTGGGGAAAATGGGGTGCTTGTGTGGTTCACTCGGTTAATGGTCTGACTTTTGATTTCAGCTCAGGTCATGATTTCACTTTTGGGCTCATGTGGGGCTCTGTGCTGACAGTAGGAGCCTGCTCGGGATTCTCTCTCTCTCTCTCTCTCTCTCTCTCTCTCTCTCTCACAAAATAAATAAATAAATAATCACTTGGAAATAAATTGGGAAAACAGTATACATTATAATACAATCACAGGCCCACTGATAGTAAGAGAAAGAAATATAACAAGCTGTTAAAAGTAAATGTCTTTGAGTGATTATACCAAGGTTATTTCCCTCATTTATTACTTTTCATTTTCATAATATTTCTAAAATGAGCATATATTACACTTTGTTAGTGAGGAAAAAAACCAAAGCTATCTTTTAGATAGACTAAATGACTTAACTGTATAGCTCCTGAGAGGTTATATGCATGTCCATAAGAATATCTATTAAATCACTACTGATGGGGTACCTGGGCGGCTTAGTTGATTGAGTATCTGACTTTGGCTCAGGTCATGATCTCGCGGTTTATGAGTTCAAGCCCCACATCATGCTCACTGCTGTCAGTGCAGAGGCGGCTTCAGATCTTCTGTCTCTCTCTCTCTCTGCCCCTCCCCCACTTGCACTCTCAAAAATAAATAAAACATTTAATAAATAAATTACTACTGAAAAACTATCATCTCCTTAACCCATAATTAAATAGGCAAAATCCAAAATAGAGATACTATTATATGGAAACCAACTTGACAATAAACTATAAAAGAAAAAAAACAACAACCCAAAAATAGAGATATTAGCTAGACCATGGTTCTAATGTATTCTAAAGAAGCACAGTAGAAAATAGTACTTTTAGAGAAGTTAACTTTTTTGTCTTGATGCTGTTAAATAAATCAACACTTTTAACCAGACTTAAAAAAAGAAAGTAAGGCTCAAATATTTTAGGTTAACAGCAACAACAAAAAGAATTAAAAGAAAATTAGGCAATACTCAATATTGAATCAGGCCACATTTTGATATCATATAATTTGAGACAACATAATTTTTTTTCTAGTAGAAGCCAACTGAAAATTATGTCTTACCTTTCTAGTTGTCAAATAACAGATAACCTCTGCTTCAAGAATTTCTCATATTTTGAAACCCAAATATCTTTACCATGAAAAATATTTTTTGTTTAGTTTAATGTTCAGAAATCCCTATTTGTGTACTATTTTTAACTTGAATTACTCTATTTAGATTGAATTCTTTGTACATTAAGAAAAATAAATATTTATTTTAAAGCTTAACATAAAAAATATAATCTAGGTTTGCTTACAAAATTTGTGGTTAAACTACTTGTATTCTTAATCTTGACAGTTTGCTTAATAAGATAAAAGCAAAGAACTATAAAAATGAGAGCTGAAAGGGACTCACTCTAGTGATGCTAGTCTTCCCTTGAGGAATTCTAATTTTTTTAAAATTTGTGAACTCTGCATGCTATGTAATATCTCTTCCAATTTAAAAAATATGTTCATTTATAACTATCAATGAAACATGCTCATAAGAGGCAACTAGTATACACAGACTCGGTATATTTGGAGTAAGAAGTAAGGGAATTTGAAATTTTAGTTAGCCTCATCTTTACAGAGAAATAGTTTCTATTAGGGATTTCAAAAACCAAAAATAACTTGAAAGTACTTTCCCCCTATCCAGTACCCCAGAGATAAGGAGACCCTTGGTTGAAAATGTTCCGCCTAATCCAACTTCCTAATTTCACATATAAGGTAAGTGGATAAAGTAGCCTGCCAAGTACAAACAATTTAAACAAAGTAAAACGCAACCTCAAATGGACTATTTTCACCAGTGATAAAAATAAGAAATGCTTCACAATATAGACATTATAATTTTCTTTAACTCTTTTTTTATTTAGAGATTTTTCTGGTAAGGAGATATACCATAGGAAAGCAATTCACTGGCAGTGAGGTATGTATATACTCTACCAAAATACTCCTTATTTTAACTGTTTTTAACTTTATTTACATACGAAGAAAATTATCAATGCATATCCTTGTTTCAACTATAGTATTAGCCATACTACATTAAATAAAATGAAATGGTGCTTGCATACAAAAACTGTTATTTGTAAAGGAATCTGTTTGCAGGTTAAAAGAACTAATTTGTTTTTGGAAAGAGTTTAAAAGAATCACAATTTATCATGACCAAGACATCTGCACCATATTTTCCATTCCTCACAGCACATTTATTTCAGTAATTCCGTTATGTCGGTTCTTAGCATGAGCATAGTGTTACACGATTTTCGTACATATAGTCACATCCAAAACAAGTTCTAAAATTTAAATTGTAAACATTCTCATCATATGTAGAAATATTTCAATTGATGTATTAAGTTTTGCTAACTGATCAAATTTGGAATATAAATGAGAAAGCCTATTCTAAATTGTGTAGTGAGCATTGTTTATTAATTACATTTCTACAATGTTAAATAAAGTAAGAGGCAAACCTGTCCTGTAAGCATGTCAAAATTTAGGTAAAACATTAAAAAGAAACAAATCTGTTAACAAAAGGATGTCTTGCAATAAAGAACATTAGATTTTTTAAATCTATTATGATACAAAAATGTAAAGGGTAAATAGCATCTTTGTTGACAAAGTAGGAGGTAGCATGGATGCACCACTTTATTGTCTGAGAAATGCAACTGGAGTAAAGAATATTTCCTTACCACAAATAATTTCCAGGACTATGTACATATTTCTTTTAGAAATACTTGTTTAAACAAATCTCCCTCCACTTTTTAGTATAAAAAAAACCGTTCCATGTGATTTTAAAAAAACACTTACACATCTAGATAGAATTGTACTCTGCCCTATTTGAGTGAACAGTCTCAAACTATGAAGTACATGATATTTAATGCCCTAAGTTGAGTAAATTTAGTTTAGCGGTTCCTGATATTATACAAAACACTAAATACATACAAACAAAATATAATATCTTATTTTTCAATGCAAGTCTTGTGGGGAATAAACAGAACTTTGATTCTGGTTAACACTGCAGAAAATGTAATTTTCCAGTAAGTCTGTCTTTAAATTATCCATGTGCAACAGTATATTAATGACTGCTTACATGTACTGATCTTTCAACGAGTGAACACCGTTAACTGACAAAACTTAGTAAACCTTAAAAACACAGCTTCCATCCTATATAAAATATATAGACTACTTACTGTTTGAAGTACTCAGTTTGCTCTGATGTCACTGTAATTCACTTTTCCCCATTTTCCTGCTTTAGTATTTATAAACGGATAATTTAACGTGGCTTTAAAAAAAAAAGACAAAGAATTTCAAATTTACATCCAATTTAAATTTGCTATTTAAAAGGTTTCCTTGTTCTATGAAGCTGCTTCTGCCATTAGTAGAGAAAATGAAGTTTCTGTAATGGAGGCAGGCTTTTTAAGTAGTGACGTGACTTCCACCATGCCAGCTCCAGTCCGTGGAAGATTAGCGTTTACAATGTGTCGTTGTAAGTGCTTAATCCAGTCTTCCTGAACAGACAATGGTCCACGAAAGACTAGGCCACAAAACCTATAGAAGAAGTTGATAACAGTTCTCTTAACATGACCAATTTCCTTTATTTAAAATCAATTCACATAAAATCCATAAACATAAGAAGTAGAGTTTACCATAGCCTGGAGATACTACCATATACTGGAGTACTTGACAACAGTTTTTAAATACATACAAAATCAAAATGATTTAATATAATATAAAACGCCTGTTTCACAGGTTTAACAGCTATATTACCTCTAGTAATATTTGTAGAGGTAGGACCATTATTATTAAATTAAAATTAATTAAAAGGTCTTAATGCCTATATATCTCAATACATTCAAAACAACTTAATTCCAAAATGTACCATTCTTTTCAAAAGACCCTTCCCCAGTTCAGAATTCCTTAAACTGCAGGATGAGTACAGAAGGAGGTGGGAATGAGTTTGTATAGCTATACTTAGTTAGAAGTATGAGTGGAGAGAAAATGCATTCCCAAGAAGCAGAAACTCAAGACAATTAAAAAATAAAATCAAACCAAATCAAATTAAACCAAACAAAGCAAATAAATACTATAACAAAAAAAGCTACAGTATCAAAATCAGCAGTATCACTGAGACTATGAGGTAATATAAAAAATTAATTCATCAGTTATTGAAATAGTGTATTATGCGCTAATATGATTTTAAGCCTGTCTCCAAAAGTTCATTTATAACTTGACTGTTGAGAATGCACCTTCTGCCACAAATTAATAACCCCAAATAAGTCAGCTAATATGTCTCAAAGCAAGTCTGAAGAAACTGAGCAGATTTGGCAATATAGGCATATACCTGCATCGGAGAATGTAAACCTCGTCAGCACCATGAGGTAATGTTAGCATTTTCTTCTTACTTCCAGATCTTGACCTTGATTTCTTTTGCTTACAATCTAAGGCTAAAAAAGGGAAGAGAAAGACTTAACATTTCTTATATATTCCAAAACATAAATACATACTTCTAGAAAGGTCAAGACCATCTAAACCAAGTTAGAAAAAGTCTACATTCACTTGTATTCCCTGAAGCATGCACTAACTTGCAGCTGGGTCTTTAACTACAGTAATATTATCTGCATACATTCTTCCTGTACTACTTTTTCAAATAATGCTTTATCATACCAAACTAGAACTGAGAAAATGTAAATAAAGTTAAAATTACTGTACTGATCAATTATTACAACAGTAATCTTTCCTCTTATGACCACAAATCCATTATTTTAATATCTCATTAATCTTCCTTATTTCCATGAAAACTATAATCTTTTACTTAAGATCATTAAATTTCCATTTGATTACTATTCCATTAAGTAGGTCTCACATGCTTTTAAAACCTAGTAAAGGATCATCACCAACAAAATAAAAAGCTCAATGAGAAATCTATTTTGTAGCAAATACACTTTGAATTCTATAGTAATAAACAGTTCTTAAAATTACATGTGTGCCCTATATTTGAAAGGGCAAAAAAAGCTCAACTCTCAAGTTTTAACTCAACTTGTATGTACAATATGTTTTATTTTACTAAGAAATAAATATAAATCCAGATTATCTCACATAAGTTTACAAATGGACCAGAAATGTAAGGCTATATTTTTTTACATTTTTTCAATTTACATTGTCTCCTATATTTTTAAAATGTTATTAAAACGGGAAAAAAGATTTTTAAATTAAAGCCGATCAAAATTTTAGTGCTGTTCTTAAAAATTTTCAATTACTTGACTTTTCCTTCAATCACTTATTCTATAAAATCTTATTTAATAAAGAAAAAAAGTACTTTTTGTAGGTAGGAATAGACAGAACATATCATTTTATTGGTTTTTGAATACAACTACACCATTCTTTTGAACAAAGGGATGACAGTATTCCAGGGATCTGCTGGTCAATTAGCAGGAAGAGAAGGTAAGAGATTTTATCTCTAGGGATCCAAGGGGGAGGGAAACAAATGTAACAGAAGTTACACAAATGGCTTTTCTTCTGTTAACCTGCCATGTGAAATCCCCTGGAAACATTCTAGGTAATTCTAGGTAAGAAAGAATAGGAACTGGCTATCCAATGATTCTGTGAAATGAGTTGTTCAAAGTCCAGTTTCCAAAAGAATAGATGCTACTATTACAAAACCAGTAAACATGGTTCCTTACAGTCAAGTGGCAATGCTAACAGAAATGTCATATAGAAAATTAAAAACCATGAGAAGCCTAGATAAAAAATCACTCAAGCCACTGGTTTCTGCTTCTTGTCACCTGCCTCTTAAAAGTAAAATCCTGTTTGCATCCAGAGTCTTCCTTTGCTTATGCTCAGAAGAAGAATCTAATAAGTAAAGAACTATAAGAAATCAAGTTAAGTATTAAAGAATGGCTAATTCAAAGCTAACCAACCAAAATCTGGAATAGAAAAATCTTATTAGTTTTCTCAGTCAAGAGCCTGGCACACAGTAGAAACTCAACAAATACTCAAACAAAGGAAAACCCAATAATTGAACCTTTGATATTCAGACGGCATATGAATGGAAAATTTGTTCTACTGCTATGCAATACAGGTAGCATCCTATAGCACACCTCTGCATCATTTGTTTAAATGAACATGCTACTTAGCAGTCACATTCTTCACTGATCAATCTAGCTTATAAGTAGAAACTTAAGTTCTTCACAATCAGTAGGAAGAGTGAGGTATTAAGTGCTTTGTAAACAGCACCCTTTTACCCCCTAGTTGCATTGGTGAGCAAATCTGAATTTAAGTGGATTTTAAAGCAATTCATTCACTAGACAGAAGTAAAGAATTTAGGGAACTCAAAGGGCTAAGTGTTACTAGATGTCAGCTATTCTTTCCCTATCTATAAGGTAAACCACACACAATCCCTGTCTTTGTTATGTGGAACAGAGTAAGCATTTGGTTTATCATGAGATTATAGGTAGAATCTTACTTTGATGGGCTTGCTGGTAGTCAAAATTGCCACACTGTATTCAAATTCCTTTTAAAATGTAAATAAATTACTGTAGGATACAAACAGAATGCATTATAACAATCCTTTAAAAATTTGTTCACAGAATGCTAATGTTAAGGGTGTAAAGAAAATTGAGGGTTAAAGGCAGAGGGTGACAGGCAAGTATGCAATACAATGTATTATTATATATTTTGATGCTGTAATTCTTTAAAAATGGAACTGGACATGTTTACTTTGAAGTGTAGAAAGATTTTTTGACTTTAAAACAGGAAAAAGAATTTTTCTGACTTTTGATTTATATGGACTCTAGAAACTGAGGTTTAGATTATTTTATGAATGATCAGATCTAAATTTTAAATGAAATGCCATAGTTTTTGCAGTAATTAATACTCAAAGGAATTATGATTTCAGAAAGCAGGACAACTCTGCCAGCGTATGACTGAGAATCTCCATTACCCAGGATTCCAAGTAAGTTCAGAGAACACATGCACTGAGCATCCCTTGGAAAACTTGTCCATAAAGTAAGTATATAAAAAACCTAGGGCCTGTGGTAATTACACCTTAATACCTTGGTGTCTTGGTGTCTCCATGATCACTTTTAAATAATTCTTTTTTTACTTTTTATTTTTGAGAGAGAGACATAGTGTGAGTGAGAGAGGGGCAGAGAGTGAAGGAGACACAGAATCCAAAGCAGGCTCTAGGCTCTGAGCTGTCAGCAGAGAGCTGGACACGGGGCTCAAACTCACAAATCATGAGATCATGACTTGAGCCGAAGTCAGATGCTTAATCGACTGGGCCACCCAGGTGCCCCTCCATAATCACTTTTAAATTTCTTATCCCTTGAAATGTCAGTTATTTATTTTAGATGGTAAAACATGAATACACTTTACAGGAATAGTTTTTTTCTAGTATCAACATCCAAACTTCACGCCTGCATTACAGCCCAAACATTTTAGAAAAATCTGCAAAAAAAAAATGAGTATTTAACATATTATTAATATGCACACAAAGGGGACATCCATATGGTATTCTCTACATGGAAAAGACGATTTACACAAAATGTTCCACAAAATGAAAAAGATGATGTACAAACATATCTATTACACAAATGTTCTGATTCAACAGTTTTTATTAAATCTAGAGGAAAAAGGAGTTTTAGTCTGGACTGTCCCAGGAGTCACTAGAACATCAAAACAGAACACTAACACATTCAGTTTTGGTATAATGGGGCTTATCAGTATTTGTGATAGTCAAAAGTTTAACAGTTATTCACATTAATAATCTGCCAAATACATAATTTTATTTTATACAAAGCCTTTCTTTGTAATAGGATTTTATATGCACTTATTTGTTAATGTCAAAAATAAAAAAACACACACTTTTTATCTCTTCCAAAGTATTTTAGATCTAACATTGTTTCTGTACTTGAAATGTATTTAACACAAAATACTACATTGGTTTTAGAAATTCTTAATTTTCTTCTCAAGTATAACTGCATCTTCAGAAAAGAACAAACCCCAGTCATTCAAACTTTCCTAAGATTCCTATTCACGGTGGTAAAAAAATATTTAAGTAATCAATTTTAGCCAGAAGACTGTTAAAAACACTTTTGCAGTTATCTGATTCATGAAGGATTTAATTTGCTACTGGGAGTATTTAACTTACTTGTAAGGAGAGTGAATTACATTGTAAGGATATATACAAAGTTTTAGAATATATCTTTCAACACAACAGCTGTTTGATCAAATAGGAATGAAAGATAGATCATACAATAGATTTGTGAACCCTCAAAAAGAACACCATACTGCTATGCTACAAAATATAACAACAGCAGCAGCAGCAGCAGCAGCAGCAGCAGCACAACAACATCAACAAATGTGTCTAACGCACTAAACCAGATCAGTGAAAAGCAAATCAATAAATAACACAAGAGATACAAATTCAAGCTTGTTTTCTGAGTATTTAGTTTTATACCTAGAAGAAAAAGAATTTACTTTGGGCTCTAATATTATTAAGTAAGTCTTTCTGTGCTTTCTTTCCACCTTTCTGCCCATTAAATACAATTGTTTCAATGAATTTCATGTTCTTTTTAGTTCACTTATACAAATGATCTCAAAAAACGAAGATTTATTTCTTAGAAACATCTGAAGTTCAGTGTGGTAAAGGAGCACATCATAACTAAATTAACATTTCCCCTCAAAAATATTTTTATTTGCAACCATCCTCCCCTGCCCATTTAATTAAAGTACCATTTTATCAGTTTTGTTCCTAACTGGTTGTTGGCATCTCTGGGGTAAAGTGAAACTTAAAATAATGGCCAGGCTATACATATCCAAAACAGGAGGTATGGTATAGCCGTACTAGAGGGAAGAAAAATTTCTTCTCCAGCTAGTTGGTCTGTATAAGATGAGTAGGCAATAGCAGCTATAAGCTCATTCAGGAAGACACTAGGGGATAAAAGAGACCTAAATAGGTTAAATCATCATCCCACCACCATTAACACACTGGTAGTGGAGGAGGTAGGTTGTCAGTGGAGAGGTGGGAGGAGAGTGCATATGCCTGTCCCAAGGGGTACACAAGTGTGAGATGATAAACTCAATTCTAGTTGTTGTCATTAATCCTTCAAAGTTCGTAAATCCCAAGCACGTAACACCCTGTGTGAAGAACATTTTCTTTTTCTCAGTCCCAAATGGAAAAGGAACATGGTATTGGGGGGTGGCGGGGAGAGAATCGGGGAAGAAACCTGTTACCTTGTATAAAGTAGGGATGGGGGATAGAGAGAGCCAAATTCTTATTTCTTCAGTGTACACTCTTATCTTTGCATAAAGTGTCTACAAAACAGCCTTCATAGGTATATGACTTGTGTAGTCAAAAAGGATCCCATACTTGGTTTAACGCTCTTGTCATACGCAGTCTTAAGATTCTTAACTTTTTAATACAAGGCGCTACATCTTCATTTTG